CTCAAGTCTCTTATTTGTCGTTCCTCGGTTGAACCGGAAGTTGTTTTGCTCCGCCATCTTGCAGACCGTCCCAATCATAGATATCCATAATAATGGAAGGAGTTATATCACATTGAGAATGCTTGCGCAGCTGTGGAGAGAGAAAAAGAGGGGGAACGACCGAGCGAGGGGAGGTCCTGAGCGAATATGCGCTGCTTATTTTAGATAGTTAGAAAACGCGGTCAGCGTTGATAATGTGGCAGGCTGCCACAAATAAAACAGTAAATCAGTGTGTGGGAAACTGAAATAATACATTACATTTACTGTAGAGGTCATCCAGCTTGATCATTGCTTTTATTCAGCATCTGTGACTGAAGTAAAATCAATTAATGATATTTCTGAGGCTGGAAATAACGTGAACCTACACGTTGCAACATTATCCTCACTTTAATCACGTTACAGTAACACAGCTCTCATGGGTCTCAGTTATTGTTGACAGTTCAAGACATAGGCTATGCATATTAGGGAGAGAGAAAAGGCTTAATAGCCAATGTGATCAACATCCTTTATCTGTCATAGTCGGTGATTTCTCTTTTTTGTTATTGTAGAAAACATTTTATAGCTTATTTCAACAATCTGAAGCATAAAACGGTGTTGAAACAGCATCAGATTATAGCAAATCCAAAAGAAACCAAAAGAAAGAACTGTGAGACTTTCTCTCCTTTCCTTTCGTAGGGATGGTCTGGTGTACCCTATGCTAAAGGAGATATGAAAGGAAGCATTGAGGCTCCTTTCCATAGCTTTTAGAGAATTCGACCAGCTCTTATCATGGCTTCCTCTGAAATACTTCTGGGTCACTTCACTCAGTTAGGAACCTTCCTAAGCAAAAATGACTCTGCCGGCGCAGAGACCGTCAACTGCAGTTGCTTTTCTCCAGCTGCACAAAGTTGGAACCACACTATTGCCTGGTCATTTAAATAAAGACATTTCCACCATGAATTGCTGCAGAAAATGTCTCCAGAATGCAGGAAGTTAAGTGTTTAATGCTCAAAGTCGTCACACCCCTAATTCTTTCCACTTCAAGCACAGGTTGTTTGGGTCTTGTTGTATGAAGTTTTAAAGCCAAAGTTTATGATGAATGGTACAACAGCTGCCGGGGTTTGTTGTCCTCTCTTACGTGTGGCTGCGCGTATGTGTTACGTAGGCAGGTAATAGGTAACAGAGGGAGGGGAATAACAACAAGCTCATCAGACTTTTCCTAAAAATAAACATTTGTTCTTGAGTACCGCAACTCGAGTCCAAGTCAAATCTGAAGACTTTTGTGGACGAGTCTCAAGTCAAAATATGTTAAATTTTATCACTTGCTAATGTCACATCATCACTGGCCAACCAACTACTTCCTCCCTAATTTTATCCGTTTCAAAATTATTTAAAATAATTCTATGTCGGACTTTAATCACGGCGCTGCCACTTTCTATTAGCCTACTACACTTCCTGGTATTATGCTCATTTTCAGGTTCAAAATCCTATTTAGGGGTTGTACCAGAAAAGGTTTACATGGTTTGATTTTCAAAAAATACCATCTTTTTTGTTATACTGCACATTGCTGCAGCTCCTCTTTTCACCCTGTGTTGAATGCTTCGTTTTAGCTATGGAGTGATACATTTTGTCTCTGAATGATCTTTGTTGCACAGTTCCTAGTTAAGGACTACTAGCCAATCAGAAACAGAGAAAGGCGGGTCAGCGAAAAGACGGTAAACAGCTTTTGAGGGTGTGTCGGACTAGTCGCTCAGCTAGCATTATGGCACGTACTTTCATTGTGACATCACAAGTAAAGGAAGTAAAGGCTGGACTACAAACGAGCTGTTTTCAGGCAGTTCAGAGCAGTGTTTTCTGTGGGAGATGGGAACTCCCTTTGGGCTGGACTTTGGGCTTTTTCACTTTGCAAACCTGTTACATGCACAAAAAAGATATATAACTCAATAAAGGAGAGGGAGAAAGCCAAAAACCATAATACCACCTCTTTAAGGATCAATACTGTTCCTGTAAAGCTGGGTAGGTATGTATTCAATACGAAATCAAAACAGTAGGGCTTTATAGCATTACATTCAAAAGATGTTATATTTCAGATTTGGTGTTGGCAATTGTTGTACAACATGTTGTATGCTGGCACTGTATCTCCTCGGCCAGACTCAATAAACCATGCTATGTTAAGTCTTCATCACATCTGAACCTGGCTCGCAATATTTCTTAAACACATATTACTATCCTTTGTACCAGTATCACCTTTTTATTGCCTTTGTGTGAAGGGTTTGTAATGTCACATAAAAACAATCCCCTTACTAGGTTTTTCTGTGACCTCAGACATGTATGCCTAATCCTATGTGAAGACTCCGGGTCGGATTTTCCAGCATGCATGCTCTGGAGCCTCTTGTCTTCTGATTCTGTATTGTACACACAGCACAACACAGACTCCAACACAACTCCATGTAAGGATAAAAAAATAAGAAAACAGGCAGGCCAGACAAGAATTACATCACACACCAGGTTGCAATCTGAAAACTGGACCGCTAGTGACCACTGAAACTATTGCTCCTTTAAGCTTATGGTTATATAAATGTACTTTATTGTCACTACATACATGTAGTGAAATTCATCCTCTGCAGGTCAACAGCACTGACTGGACCCAGAGAAATCCCACGCAGACAACATGCAAACTCCACACAGAAAGGCCAGGTTTTGAACCCCCAACCTTCTTGCTATGAGGAAACAGCGCTAAGCACTGCACCACCATGCCACCATATTGGTACTGGTAAATTACAAAAGAAATATAATAATGCAACATTTACAAGCGTGAAACGCACTGTATTGTGGTCACTTACTCTTAGCTTTAATGACTGACTTGATAGTTTCTGCCGGCCTAATAGAGCAATTTTCATGTTATGGTGATGTGTAGCACACAGTTTTAAGGCAAAGTATTGAGTTCAGACGTGCTTTGATTTGCTGACGTCAAGATAGGTACAATTGACAGTGAGGGTCACATTACACTCAGCTAGTAAAAACACAGCAACATAAACCTGACCCTCTGCTGTGATTCCAAACTACTTAACAGCCACATGGACCCACATTTGGCTCTTGGCAGATATTCATTTTGGACCCTGAGCAGGTTCTTGTTGCTGTGCAGTGTTTTCAACTACAGCATAATTGTTTAACGCTTTGCAAACACATTTAAGAACATAATCTCAAAATTTCACAATATTGCACCGCTAAATAATGTAGCCCACGCTTTATCACATAGCATTTGTCTTATGTGTTATGTCTTATTAAACCCTGAACGTCTTATACCTTAAATGACGTAAGATTGTTCCATATACAGATCAACTTGTTTGTAGACCAGAAGTACAGGTGCTGGTCATATAATTAGAATATCATCAAAAAGTTGATATATTTCAGTAATTCCATTCAAAAAGTGAAACTTGTATAATGTATACATTCATTCCACACAGACTGATGTATTTCAAGTGTTCATTCTTTTTAATTTTGATGATTATAACTGACAACTAATGAAAACCCCAAAATCAGTATCTCAGAAAATTAGAATATTGTGGAAAGGTTCAATATTGAAGAAACCTGGTGCCACACTCTAATCAGCTAATTAACTCAAAACACCTGCAAAGGCCTTTAAATGGTCTCTCAGTCTAGTTCTGTAGGCTACACAATCATGGGGAAGACTGCTGACTTGACAGCTGTCCAAAAGACGACCATTGACACCTTGCACAAGGAGGGCAAGACACAAAAGGTTATTGCTAAAGAGGCTGGCTGTTCACAGAGCTCTGTGTCCAAGCACATTAGTAGAGAGGTGAAGGGAAGGAAAAGATGTGGTAGAAAAAAGTGTACAAGCAATAGGGATAACCCCACCCTGGAGAGGATTGTGAAACAAAATTCAAAAATGTGGGGGAGATTCACAAAGAGTGGACTGCAGCTGGAGTCAGTGCTTCAAGAACCACCAAGCACAGACGTGTGCAAGACACGGGTTTCAGCTGTCGCATTCCTTGTGTCAAGCCACTCTTGAACAAGACACAGCATCAGAAGCGTCTCGCCTGGGATAAAGACAAAAAGGACTGGACTGCTGCTGAGTGGTCCAAAGTTATGTTCTCTGATGAAAGTAAATTTTGCATTTCCTTTGGAAATCAAGGTCCCAGAGTCTGGAGGGAGAGAGGAGAGGCACAGAATCCATGTTGCTTGAAGTCCAGTGTAAAGTTTCCACAGTCAGTGATGGTCTGGGGTGCCATGTCATCTGCTGGTGTTGGTCCACTGTGTTTTCTGAGGTCCAAGGTCAACGCAGCCGTCTACCATGAAGTTTTAGAGCACTTCATGCTTCCTGCTGCTGACCAACTTTATGGAGATGCAGATTTCATTTTCCAACAGGACTTGGCAGCTGCACACAGTGCCAAAGCTACCAGTACCTGGTTTAAGGACCATGGTATCCCTGTTCTTAATTGGCCAGCAAACTCGCCTGACCATAACCCTATAGAAAATCTATGGGGTATTGTAAAGAGGAAGATGTGATATGCCAGACCCAACAATGCAGAAGAGCTGAAGGCCACTATCAGAGCAACCTGGGCTCTCATAACACCTGAGCAGTGCCACAGACTGATCGACTCCATGTCACACGGCATTGCTGCAGTAATTCAGGCAAAAGGAGCCCCAACTAAGTATTGAGTGCTGTACATGGTCATACTTTTCATCTTCATACTTTTCAGTTGGCCAACATTTCTAAAAATCCTTTTTTTTTGTATTGGTCTTAAGTAATATTCTAATTTTCAGAGATACTGAATTTGGGATTTTCATTAGTTGTCAGTTTTAATCATCACAATTAAATGAAATAAACATTTGAAATATATCTGTGTTTGTGTAATGAATGAATATAATATCCAAGTTTCACTTTTTGAATGGAATTACTGAAATAAATCAACTTTTTGATGATATTCTAATTATATGACCGGCACCTGTAAGTGCAGATAGCTTTAAAGAAAGCAGAATAAAGCCAACTGGCACACTAGAATTATAACAAATGCAAGAAAGAATGCACTAATATTTAATTATCATGAGTTTATTTTGACTATCAAGAAGTTTTCACAATATAAAAAATATTTTGATTTCATTTGATATTCATTCATTAGTTTGTGTTAGTTTTGTCCTATACCAGAACATATTCCACTTCCCTGACAATTTTCTTTCTTTGAACATTTGTTGTACTACTGTGTAAAGTGAATTGGTTGTTTTAAGGGTGCTATAAATAAAGTTCAGATTTGCCAGTTCAATAGGGATGGCTGGAAAAGGTTTATAATAAACCACAGAACACAATTGAGATATTGAAGCAAACAGGAGAGATTGCACTGCCACTGACAAACCAGTTCTTGGCATTGTTTCAATAGTCACATAACTGGTTTTGTATACAAACCCATGGTACTTTAAACATGCACACATGTACAATGTCATATTGTCTGTGTTTTGAATGTTGTTACCTCTTATGGCAAAAATACATTTTTGCACTGCTGGAGGATGTAAATGGAAAGTCACAGGGTGGCTGTCTTTTAAAATGAGAGGGAGCCATCTGGGACATTTGAGAACCACTTGACACTGCTGAGTGGAACATGCTAAAACTACTTTAATAACTAAACAGCATTTACAATACTGAACGATGCTTGATGTATCTTACTTTAGTTACAAATCACTGACTAATAACATTTGGAGTTAGTCAGATGAGCCCTACCTGTCCATTCAAATCTCTGAGATTCATTAAATTAATCTCAAACTTAAAACCCTTAGTATTATGGTTCATATTTTTTATAAATAAAATTGTAAAAAATATGAAGTTGCTTTACATAACACTGCTGTATTATTGCTATATCAGATAACTACTCAGAATGACTCTACACACTAAAATTAGCATGTTTCCTTATCTTTATCATATAAATCAGGTACAAAAACTGTGAGTTCAAGGAAATATGCATTTGGTAAACTAAACTCTCACGGACGTAGAGGGTTAAATGAGCAAAGACATGGGAAAATGCATGTGTGGTTTCCATCACATACACCCTTAAGCTCCAATTCCCCACCCCATTCTCTACAAAACGTCACATCAAGTTTTTTTCTTTTTGCTCTGATACCTTGACTCTTCCCCACCCTTACTTTCCTCCCTTAGTTTAAATAGCTGCTCAGAATGAACAGGTGTCACATCTTTACCTGGGATCCTGTTAAGAACATCAGAAGTACCAGCAGTCCACCTGTAAATTACAGCTGAGAGTAAAACTACACTGGATCCTCATTTCAAGAAAGTGCACATCTTTTTGCTTCCTAACACAATTTCACCCTCACTGAACCGAAGACAAGAATATCTTCAGGTAGGCTAAAACTATATGCAAGTCATTAAATCTATTCATAAATTATTTCTGACCATGGACCAAGACCATGCTGTGAAGATGAAATTAATGAAATATAAATTTTACATTTACACTGGCTGTAGGTAGTAGTGACATGCAACTACATAACATCACTATTACCTATATATTTAGCTAACACTACATAGCAGCCAAAAACATTTGGGGAAACAACAAATGAGACCTATGAGTTTTCTTGTGTCCTCTGCTCTCTGTATCGGTGTTTCACCAAGGTCGGGGCTCAACTTCTCCGACCACACATACAGTGAATTATGGAATGTTATAATGTGAAGCTCAGTACTCGAGTACTTTATTTGTGGTATTGTGTTACATCAACTTCATCGATATTCATAACATCTGGAATACTTTCTTATTTAAGTGTTGAAATGTTATTCATCAATCTCATAATTAGACACTCTTTTTAGTGATAAAATGTGCTTTATCATAAAACACTGTATTCAGAAAACTGTAAACGGAAATACAAAATTTGGGAACAGTTAATCGGAATCTGGAAAAGCTTAAAACAGACTTCAGTAAAATATTTCACCAATAAATAATTTCTCTACAGCTTACCCGATACAATCACTGTGAAGCATCACATTTTATTATTTAACTGAATAATCTTACCCTACCGACTCTAGGTATGGACAACAGACTGATCCTCGTCATCCTGTTAGTGATACTGTCCTGGATATCTGTGGGAACCTATGCTCAAAGTCAATACATTGCAATGGAAGTGTCAAATGGCGTGACAAGTGCACCAGATGAGACCATGGCAACAAGCATGACAAGTGCACCAGATGAGAGCATGGCAGCAAGCATGACAAGTGCACCAGATGAGACAGTGGAAACAAGCATGACAAGTGCACCAGATGAGAGCATGGCAGCAAGCATGACAAGTGCACCAGATGAGACAGTGGAAACAAGCATGACAAGTGCACCAGATGAGACAGTGGAAACAAGCATGACAAGTGCACCAGATGAGACAGTGGAAACAAGCATGACAAGTGCACCAGATGAGAGCATGGCAACAAACACGACAAGTGCACCAGATGAGACAGTGGAAACAAGCATGACAAGTGCACCAGATGAGACAGTGGAAACAAGCATGACAAGTGCACCAGATGAGAGCATGGCAACAAACACGACAAGTGCACCAGATGAGAGCATGGCAACAAGCATGACAAGTGCACCAGATGAGAGCATGGCAACAAACATGACAAGTGCACCAGATGAGAGCATGGCAACAAGCATGACAAGTGCACCAGATGAGAGCATGGCAACAAACATGACAAGTGCACCAGATGAGACCATGGCAACAAACACGACAAGTGCACCGGATGAGACCATGGCAACAAACATGACAAGTGCACCAGATGAGACCATGGCAACAAACATGACAAGTGCACCAGATGAGACCATGGCAACAAACATGACAAGTGCACCAGATGAGACCATGGCAACAAGCATGACAAGTGCACCAGATGAGACCATGGAAACAAGCATGACAAGTGCACCAGATGAGAGCATGGCAACAAACATGACAAGTGCACCAGATGAGAGCATGGCAACAAACACGACAAGTGCACCAGATGAGAGCATGGCAACAAACACGACAAGTGCACCAGATAAGACCATGGCAACAAACATGACAAGTGCACCAGATGAGAGCATGGCAACAAACACGACAAGTGCACCAAGTGCGCCAATGGAAACAAACATGACAGCAGCACCAACGACCGCAGCCCTAGTGACACCCTACATCATCCCAGTGGGATATCTTCAGGTGAGAATTTCCCAAAAATAAAAATATAAAATTTAATAAAAAAAATAAATCTTGGTGGAAAACATTAGAAAAAGATCATATAAAGTCAGTTATTTATGGTGTTTAACTTAATCAAAGTGCACATTTCCCACCCACTTCAATGTTTCCCGTTTCCTTTGAAGACACCTCTTTCTAGGGCAGAATGTGGGACCCAACAGCTCTGTGTGTCCGCGCCTGCTGTCTGTGACCCCTCCAGTGATACAACATGTTACTTTATTGGTGTCAAGCGGCAGAGCGGTCAAAACTTTGAGTTTGCACTCTCAGGACAATCCGCAGGCTACACCGCTAACTCCCTGTCACCTGATGGCACACTGGTATGTGGAGTTCTGTCAGTCACAGATAAAAGTACCATGAAGTCTAACCCAGACCCAATCACAGCCTGAATTTTGTTTGAATTCATGTAAACCGGTTGTATTAACCATTTCTGGTTTTGCTCCACAGGGAGGAAATGACTCAGCCTACGTCTGTGCAAACGACGGCGGTGTTGTTAGATTCTTTACAACTGTCCTCAGTAAGATCCAGCTGATTGAGACAAAGGTTAGTTCTAAGAGTATGAATGAGACTACATAGCAAACACATGGCACACATGAATTGCCTGACATGTAAACACTGTACTATAACATGCAATTTTTTGTAAAGAAAAAAGAATGTGAACAGCAGTAGATACAGCTGATCTAGCCTAGTTATCAACCTTATTTCTATGTCTATACTTCCATTAAATTTTCTTTTTGTTCTAATACTGAACAGACACTTAACATTCAGTGGTTCACTCAGTATGCACAAAATGACACACATAGCCTTTATGAACCTGCTGCTTAAACAATAGCACGGCAAACGTTAATTCAAGTCATCACTATCTGTATGGTATAGAAATATTGGATATATTTATACACTTCTTCTTTCTCTCTAGCTAAACGTGAGTTCAGTAATGGGCAGGGTCGATGGAACCAGAATCCAGTGTACATTTGTTGCCACATTACCACCAACAGCTACTAAATCAGCAACAGTTTACGCACTTGCATTCTTGACTGGATCTTTCAACAGACGTAAGCTAACGTATTAGCAATACACATTAAATCACACATCATTTGCACTTTAATCAGTCAACTAAGATCCACTGTCTTAGTTGAGAGTAGCACATATAATGTCTTAAGAATTGCTAATAAAATCTGCAATCCTTTTGTGTTTTGGTTGTGATCTCAGATTATGGAAATCTAGGAACCCCTGTTGTCCAATTATTGAGCCCTCTTCTAGATCTGGGAAATCCTTATGTGACCAATCAGACCGCTACCTCTGGCATGACCAGTGTCCACGCCACTACATTGCAGCAATCACTGACGCAAGGTAAGCGTGAGAGATAGGCTTGTTTTTGTCCAAAAGTTATCCAAAAAATGCTGGGAATTACATGAGTTTGTTTACTGCCTAATGAAAAAAGTGTCTGTTCTCCCATCCTCCCCTATAGCCCTACTGATCACTGTGGGTGTGCTGGGCCTGACCATCTTATGAGGAAAGTTTTTTTTTAACCTCCATGAGTCAAGACAAGAAAACCTTAACCTTAACTTCCCTATTCATATACATGTGCCACTGAATGTAAACTGTTCAAACAGCTAGGCTCTGAAAGTCATTTTTAAATTTTATTTTCATTGAATGTTATTTGTCCTACAAGCTACTTACTTGCAGGCAAGTACATTGACTCTCTGCTTGTGTAAAATCAATCTTTGACTAGAATTGGGTACAAATGAAAAGAACTATTAAAACTCGAATTAGAAAGACATCACAAAAACATCAAACCCAAATCAACTGTACCAGTACATGGCTTTCAACAATTATACACATTTTGAGTTCGGGGTCTGTTTAACTTTGAAGCCCACATTACCACTGTCAAGCAGAAACCTCGTGACATGGTAACTTCTCTGTAACCCCTACAGAAATCAGTTATTATACTGTGATGCCAGAAAAATATCTGACAAAACTTTTGTCAAAGAGCTCAAAAAGTAATGAAATTTTTGTTAACCATGATATTATTTTAGCCTCAGAAAAAGTAGATGTGCCCTTATGAAGGATCATAATTTTGCTTTGTGTGTGTCATAAATATATATATACAATCTTGTGTTATGTTTCTTGTGGCACACGCAAGATAAGCAAAGAAACAATGTTTTTCTCCTCTTGTGTGTTTTTGCATTATGTTATTATATGATGTTATTGTCTTTGGTGTGAATGTATTGTTGATAATTCAACAATCTTTTTACAATGAAGCCTTCATTGGCTGATATTTTCATGTGTGTGTGTGCGTGTATGTGCAAGTACACATGAAAATGACCAAATGCTCATAAAGAAAATGCTATATACTGTATATGATGCCGAATATTGGTGAAACTGAATTTGCTCGTTGTGTTAGGAAACAATTGAATTTTATTACATGTTTGTCAAATAAATACTTTACGCAAACTGATTACCCAAGTAGTGGCATTAATAATTTGTCATATCAGCAAAAACAACTTTGAATAGTCCATGGTATTTGTTGTCAAATGCAACAACTCTCCATACTTGTGCCACATTTTAATGGATGGTTGGGAGAAAAATGTGTTACAATGTGTTGACTCCAGCAATGTTTGAGCTGTCTCCAATTGGAGTAAACATTTCTGTACCTCATTACGTTTTAGATATTTGGCCACGTGGTAGGGCTCCTGTCATGGATGTTATGTAATGCTAGATTTGGATTAAATTTGTCATGCTTAGCCTTGTTGATATAATATATTCACATAATACAAGTAGGTTACAGAAAAGCAGATCTAACTGTAAGAACTTGAATGGGAGTAGATAGTAGTAGCAGAAAAAACATTTATTTGTAAAAGAGATGATCAGTGTCACACTGGCCTTCATTTTTTAATAAGACCCTGTAATTAGCCCCTTAGTCAGTTATATGTTACATTGGTGAATATATTTGATAGCTGTATCAAAATTAAGCAACATAGTAACCTAGCCACTTAAGCTACTTTAGGCAAAAGTTACACAGACAGCTAGTATGGCTTAGGTCACTTGCAGGTGAAAAGACACATAGAGTAAAATTAAAACAAATAATTAGTTTACATGTAAAATTTACACATTTAAACTGGCTAGCTGTTAGCTACGACCATACGCGGCCTTAGACAAACAAACAGCATTGTCATTGAATTGGCCATTTTCTCCTGGGATGGCCCCTTATCCTGTCAGTGGGTGTAGAAGTGGACTCGATGACTTCTGTTCCTGTACTTTGATATAATCCACCCCTGGTGGGGAGTAGACTTGCTAGCTGTGCACAAGGTTACTGCTGTCACCATCGTCAACAGAAAACAATGTTGTCCTGAAAGGCTGCTGGGGACACAGATCCTGATTAGGAAGTCAATGTCGTACAATAACATCGAAAACCCCAGGTGTGGCACAATATCAACAACTAGAATATTTAAATGTGTTTCTTCTGATTTAGCTTCAGAGCAGCAGCACAACTACACATTAAAGAGCTGCCATTTACATTTTAGAGAAATTGTCCCCAAATCACATGATGTTTCTCTCCCTCCATCAGTTGTGGTGTTATCTCATCAGTGGAGGGAACATCAGTATTCACATTCCAGTGTGCAGGCATGGAAGGTCGCTACGTCATTGTGACCATTCCAGGAGACTGGAAGGTTCTGACGCTATGTGAAGTGGATGTGTATGCTTCTCTGGCAGGTATGGTCCTTGAATATTATGTCCAATAGATAGAACTAGCTATCAAATACTGTGTTATGTCTGATGTGGTTCTATACATTGTTGGCTTCTGAAACTGACTGTTATATATGCACATGTAATTGTTGTTGCTACAATATCCAAAGTCAGGCACAGCTGATGATCCATTCATCCATCCATCCATCCATCCATCGTCAACCACTTATCCTGTGTACGTGAAATAATATTATCATTTCTTCATAAATCAACAGTAACCAGCAATATTCATTCTCTCCAGTACCAGTAGTTGTCATTCTTCTCTTTCTACTGCTCCCCCTCCTCCCACTGTGAACATGCTACTGAGTGGCAGGAATGTGACAGCGGTGGGAGAGTCATCCATGCATTGATGCATTCATTTTCAAGGCCATCACATGTGGGTTTCTCTCACTGTAATCTCATGTAACCATCAGTCTGATGGAGGGCAGATGACTCGATATCTCTTGACCTCTGAGAGTTAGCTGAGACCAAGATTGTCACCTTTTCTCAGCTAAGAGCCTGTTCTTTCTTATTGTTTATTTTCTAATTGTTTGTGTGGTTTTTGTTAACAGTATTCCCATATTTGAGATGAACTAAGAAATCTTGGCAATGCAGTAAACCACTGATTAAATTAAAAAAAACATTATTAATTCATACATTATAATCTCAACATAAGTAGTGACTATACAAATGTGTGAACTGGCATTCCTACATACTATAAAATCAAATTGTATGTATGATGTGTTTTACCACTGAGTAAGATGTACAGTCCATGTAGCTGTAAAGTTCCTTGCCTTAATGTTGTAATATTTTATCACGTCATCTGGTTTTGAAATGTGAGAAAGATCATGGAGATGTGAAATGCAGAACTGAACTATTAATAGCAATGTTCACTACAAGAAACTTAGTTTTTGAATCAAACAACAGAAAATGTGATACTGGTGCATATTTTTCTGCAATTGTCTGATTGACCTTGAGGTAGGAAAGAACTTATCAGTTTCCATGTTGTGTTAGTGTTTCATAATATGCTAAAATAAATAAACCTTTGTAGACAGTGCAAATAAAGCAAAATTATTGAATTGTTGAATTGAGTAGAATTCATGTTAATAATCAAACAGGAAAAACATAAATACATAAACATGTATTTAAATGTACATAAATACATAAACATAAATAAATATGGAAATAAACATTTGTCAGCCGGTTATGGCCTCAGCAATGTTGAACTGTGGGAGTTTTATCTACCTGCTCAGGTTATACACTTGCATCGCTGCAGTTGCAGTTCATTGCTATAGTTAAACCCTCCTATTTAATTACCCTACTGTAACAGAACATTTTAAAAAGGCACCATTATACAGAGGAAGCATTAAAAACACAACAAGGACACATGTTTAAATTATAAGGAGTTGCCCAATCCTGTGGGTTTAAAGGTGCAAAAAGTCCTTCTTGCCAGGTTTCACGACTTTCACCTAGAAATTCGAAGTTTTCTATCCTTCTATTCAATTTGATCAAATGCTTTCGCAAATCCAATATGTCCCTGTGCATTTAAGATATCTCGCTTGATTCATTCCCACACTTCCCACACTTTTGTTTGATCACTTTTCTTTATGTTTTTGATAAACTAGAAACAATCAGGTAAAAATGTCATATACTTCAGACACATGGTAAGGAATGTTGTTACTCCTTTTTTTTATGTAACTGAGCCAGAAACAAATTGCATATTTTTAAAGATAATTTTTAACAGAGTCAAGCAAGGGGCATATGTTTGCCATCATCTTTTATAGTAATATTTATCTATTAATTCCATAATGAACTAAATGATCTGATGAGTAATGATGAAGACAGACTCTAATAGAAGATCGCCTCTGTTAACAGCAAGCTCCTTTTCCAGCAACTACTTTTCCATTATTGCAATATTTTACATATAAACAAGGGGGCGCTGTTGAACCACTGTAGTGGCTGTTCAAAAGTGACTGTAGTCATTGCAGCGGTCTAACCCGAAACCATGGAGGCTCAGTTTAGCAACTAGTGTGGCACCATTATGGGGCAATAAAACCATAAAAGACATGAGAAACTGTGTGAGTCATGGCAACTCAAACCCAAAATGTTGCTTATGTATAGTGCAAGCACGTCTCCATCAACATAGTATAAACATTTTTCCCAATAGGTGTAGTGGATTGCATTAACACATGGCATACACGGAAGGTCATAAAACTGTGCAATGGCATGAACTTTAAATTATCTATTTAAGGATAGTAGGTGACTTGAGTATTTCATTAACAAAATGGCAAAGTTAACCTAATCGTTTTCTTGAGTTGATGTGTCACAGGACATTTACATTGCTTTCAATCCCTTTATAACTTCCAGGCAAGAGTCTGTTACTGTGTGATTTCCAGAAAATTAAACACTGTATTGTCACATGGCACGTTTTAATTTAGACTGTGTGCATAATGTAAATCTTACATCCACACTACTACATTTTTGTTTTTGTCACTTTTAAAAAGAAAAAAATCTCACACCAGTGTTTTAGCTGCGGATCAGAATAGATCTCCGTCTATATTTTATAAGACTAAAGAAAGGATGTCAAAGGGCCATTCATGTACACTGGGCATATGCATGCTGCATTTACTAGGTAGGGGAAGTCTAAAGGCCAGTTTACACTTAAGTGTCAAATCTACACCATAGCCTATGGCTCTCAAATCACCTTTCCCAACTAATGTTTTGCCAGTGTAATTGCAGAGAGACGCTGACACCAACGCACCAGCATAAATGCTCACGTCGGCACGTGGCATAGACTCGATGCGGAGGTATAAACTGGTGAAACTTAATGAAATGAGACCAGGTTGCATTTAGTTGCATTATGGTCCGGAAATGTGGGATCCAGCACTGGAGCTTGATCCATCCTTGGAACTAAAAGTGTCTCTTGCATGTTGTGGAAGCACAATACTAAATTACTGGAGTTGCCCTTTAACCCTTCTTTAATGTCATGTGTGGCAAAAGGGCAATTTCAATGACCCATAAATGAAAGATGAGACAACTTAAAATTTTTGCAATGTTCTGGTGGAGGTAAATCCATTCTGCTAAAAAATCACTTCTTTCAAATTTGGCACGTTTGTTCCCTTTTATTTTTTTGTGTATGACACTATGGAACATAGGCTATCTATTATATGTTATACCGGAAACACGTGCAGAAACAGACCCATTTTAGCAGTTATTATTTGAGTAGCTATTTTCAATTACAAATACACTTAATTATGTTCCACCGAGAATAAAGAATGCCTAATTTCATCAGTAACTGAACAATAAAACATCAGAGGGGTGCTTTTGCAATTACGGCTGGGTGGGGTAAGAGCTTTTCATTGTCTATTCATTTAAGTTACTCCAGTGGGGAGGTGGAAAGTTTGAGTGCAGAGAGGGACTGTAGTGCTCTTGTTAGGTGAGAGGAGGAGAGGGGAGTGGAGGGAGGGAGGTGGGAGTGCGTTGGACTGCCGGGCAGACGGAGAGGGGAAAGGGAAAAAATGTAGCTTGGACATTCCCAGGCTGTGAAATTTAGCGGAGAGTGAGAGAGGGGGAGAGGCGAGTACTGTTCACGCGCTGAAAACGTACGCGAAGAAAGATTTGAAGAAAAATCACTCTAAGGACGTAATGGGGGCTGTTTGATAAAAACTGAGAGAAGTTTTTTGCAGAGAATGCGGAGAGGAAGCAAATACAGGAAAGGAGCTGATGACTATGTAGGAATTCCTGCCTGAAGTCATGGTAAGTCCCCCTTTTTTAAGCTAAGGGGAACTCGTTTATCTGGAGGATGATAGAAATCAAACTTTTCTAGACACGGTGTTCACGTTCAGAAAATATTTCCAAACTCATTCTGGGACTCAAATTGTTCATGTTCGGGAATCTGTATATATAAAACAAAACGATCTTTGCTATGAAGGGCTGCTATCATAGGGTTTTCTGTTTTTGACCTGTGGCAATGTGACATTTTAAGTATTTTAGCCTTCACAGTATATTTTTAAGATTTGCATAGTCTTTTTTTTACATTTTACAAATATCCAGACTTCCACATGTCCTTCAAACCCCCCAAACAGCAGTACTTTTATATTTTACATTAACTTCTCATAAAGGCATGTATTTGATTTGGGAAAGAGTTTAGTCAGCAGTTACAACTTGCAAAGTTGTCAGATCCCAGTGGCCGCAAATTATAATGACATGATTTAAGTTGTGTGACGTTGGTGATGTTTGTGGTTGACTTGCTGGGGGAATCGGGGGCTTCACAAAAGCAAAAGCGCTTTCTGTTGCATCTCTAGGGATTTTGTTTACCATCCCCACCCACTTATGGTCTGATCAGTGACAGACAGACAGAGAGATGATTCAGGCAGACATATGACACATTTATCCATTATGCACATGTGAGAAGATAAATTGCATTAGGAATGAAAGAAATCAGCAAAGAGAGATTTAGATCATGATCCTGCTCCTGTGCCTTGGGCAGGGTGGAGCAGTTTGGCAGAGAGAGGAAGAGAGAAAGAAGAGAGAAAGCGAGAGCTGGAGTGGGAAAGAGCAGAATAAAAGAGGAGGGTAGGGTTACTTTTTATTTTAGGAGTCTTGGACGGCAGCAACGGTGGTTTCAGTGATGCCGCATTTTCCACATTGGACCTGGGAGAAAAGGGGAGAGAGAGAAAAAGGGAAAAAAGTGAGAGAAAGGGGGAACAAGGGATGGCATGGACTTCAGGGGGGGAAGAACATGTGCAGTATAGTTTCATCTTTCTCAAGAACTAGTTGGGGAAGTTTAGGAGGGAAAACTAACAGATGTACATACAAAAACTCAGAGTTACAGCAAAGTCATAGGTGTATGACACCAGGCTCTGAAGGGTGGATTTAAAAATCTGCAACAACCTGTATGAGGGAACTAACAACCTCCCCAATACGTGTCCAAAACACTTCACCCACGAGGAATGATTGCATGCATACACACTCGCTCAGGGACAAACTTGGCTGCTATTACATGCACATGTCACCGTTATTAAAATGCATCAGCAAACAGAGTCAGACATTACAGTGACACATGCAATGGTGCTCCTTTTTCCAAGAATATGTGGCAGAGGGTATTTCCATTCCCTCTGCCTGCTGAGATTTTGAAACACTAATGGGATGTACCAGTCTTACATTCGTGCCAAAAAACAAAGTCTGACAACAATTGTCTGTGCTGGTTTTAACCTGCTTGAAGTACCAGGCGGGTGGAGATAAGAGCACTAAAACAATCCGGACAGGGTCAGCAATGCTGTCAATCACAGGAATCGTTCTTTAACTTTTCCGTTTCCTGTGATTGTCAAGATTCTCTGACAAACATTGAATGCACACCAAGGATGGCTACTTTCCAACATAGCGATTTGCTGCTCATGGCCATTTCATTGCCACCTCTATTGAGATTCCATGCGGTTTCTTCGTTTGCCTTCAGTCGTGGTCTTCATCACATTTTGCCCCATAATCCAGAATATAGCTACAGTATCTCACAAAATCGAGAACAGCCCTCACATTTTTGTAAATAATTGATTATAACTTTTCATGTGACAACATTGAAGAAATGACACTTTGCTACAATGTAAAGTAGTGAGTGTACAGCTTTTAAAACAGTGTTATTTGCTTTTCCCTCAAAATAACACATCACACAGCCATTAATGTCTAAACTGCTGGCAACTAAGTGAGGACAATGATCAAATTGGGCCCAATTAGGCATTTTCCCTTGTTACAAGGTCTTAGGTGTGAATTGGGGAGGAGGTGTGTTAATTTGGTGTTCACTCTCAGACTCCATCACACTGGTCACCGGAAGTTCAACATGGCACCTTATGGCAAAGAACTCTCTGAGGATCTGAAAAAAAGAATGGTTGTTCTACATAAAGATGGCCTAGGCTATAAGAAGATTGCCAAGACCCTGAAACTGAGCTGCAGCACGGTGGCCAAGACCATACAGCGGTTCAACAGGACAGGTTCCACTCAGAACAGACTTCGCCATGGTCGACCAAAGAAGTTGAATGCACATGCTCAGAGTCATATCCAGAGGTTGTCTTTGGGAAATAGACGTATGAGTGCTGCCAGCATTGCTGCAGAGGTTAAAGGGGTGGGGGGT